ACACAGCAGTCCAAACTGCTTCATCAACTCCAAGAAGACCTCGAAGTCTATTCTGAGCTCTTCCCACCAAAGATGTTCGGCTAACTTCTCCTCCAGTATACCTTTATTATCAAGTTTATTCCAAAGTGGCATCATTGTAGCCCACTGAAAGTGTGATAATTGAGAAGAAATTATTAATCGCAGTATCTTACCACATGATTGCTAACAGACATATTTTTTTAATCACATTTACCTTGTCAACAGGTTTTACCACTGTGATGATTTTTCTCAAGAAGTCGATCAACTTCCGTGGGTTTGTTATTACTGTATGCTTTAGAAGTTTGTGGTTCTCAAAGAACAGAATGATACCAAGATCGTGTAAGTAGTTTAGGAGGGTGCGGATGCTGTCCTTTTTGTAAATTTCGCATTCATGTGCAACTTTACAGACCTAATACAATAAAAAGTACACAACATTAATTTCACAAGTAAATAATAATAATAATAATCGTGCAATTCATGATTCGATACACTTTTCTATACAAATGTATAATAAAAAGCATACTTCATCGTAAGTCTTGCACATAGTTGTCCTACCAATCTCCTGCAATATTTGTTGAAATTTCAGCCACCTGAGCGGGATCGTCTCATGCATCGTTGTAAGAAATCCATCAACAACACGTTTAAGTTCATCCACCACCTCGCTTTGTGATGCAAACTTGTTGTCGATGGCGTAAATTGTTCGCTTCACATGACTTTCATACGGAGTACCTTTAATTCTTTCGAAAATTATTCCAAACTGTTCTTCAATCTGAATAATTAAAGTGAAACAATTGAGGGCTTAATCTGGTTTTGAATTATACAAGGTTAAGGCAAGGTAACATTCTTCCCCTTGTCTTCATTTTAAAGTTGGTTGTTTCCTAAGTAAATTTAATCTTTTCAGTGTTGGAAACAGGGGATGTTGCCCTAGTTGCCTGGGCAACACCCTTGATTTCATGTGGAAAAAAATTATTTAATATTCATATCAAAATCAAATAAAATCAAATTTATTTCACTTGCAACATAGATTACATACACAATTAACTTGTAGAGCATATTCATTTCATTATAACAATAGTATTCGCGATTTTACCTTCTTCCATTAATAGATCTTCTTCCGTTTACACTAGTACGTTAAAGCCTATTTTATTATCAGGTCTCTTATTGTAGGCCCAGTATTATATATGTTATATATCTCATAAATTTGTTTATATAGGCCTATATTCAATTTATGGCCTTTTAAAGCTTGCTCCAGTGGTGGCGCCAGAGGGGAGAGGGGCTGGGGCTATAGCCCCCCATCGGGGAAGACGATAAATTTTGTCGGGGAACAAACAACTAAAAAAAAAATATTTACATGTAATATTCGTTTAGCCACCATATTGTAATCACAACAACAACAACAACAACAACAACAACAACAACAACAACAATAATAACAATAATAATATTAATAATAATAATAATAATAATTCAATGAGACTAATAAAAAATAACTTGCGTTCTCTTATGACAAATGCTCATTTAGATAGCCTCATGATGGTTGGAATACATTGTGATAGGTGAAAGCGTGGTTGACAGATTTCATGCAAAATTTCCAAATTATAGAATTTCACTTAATTTATGGTTACATTGCATACATTGTTTCTTGTTTCATTCAAAATGTTTTGGTTTTGGAAGCTGATTTCAACATTAGAAAGCATAGCCTACATGAAGTCATATTATAGTAACTCTATGCCTATCAAATAAGTAATAAAAATTCGCCATAATTTGTCAGTCTATATCCTTGGCTCCTAAGAGGCCCGCAATGCAACTCAATTTGGCCAGCGAGGAAAAACAAAATAATAGTTAATTATTTAAAACACATTAATGAGATAGGCCTATATAATAATGGTTGACTTAGAGCACATATTGCGGAGACTTCTATGCACGTAATAAACATTAAAACAAAAAGTACCTGTATTTATATAAAGATATAAAGAAAATTATATTCAAATTTTACCTCAGCCCAACCATGGTGGGGCCGACTTGGTATATATCCTGCATTTGTGAAAGTAGATCCCCGGGCCCCCTCTATTTTGAATTCCTGGATCTGCCACAGAATATATTTAGGAAAAAAGTCGAACAAAACTTTAAGTCAAACAATATGAAAAAAGTCTGGCAGGGTATGAAACTCCTGATGGCTACACAAATGGTGGTAATATACCTACCCCAATTCCGAATGTAACAGTGCAATATGTAAATGAGCTAAATGAATTTTATAATCGTTTTAATGGTTATGATTTTAAGGAAGAGAGGAGGTCCTTGTTTAACTCGTGTCGGGTCACTGAAGAGGACCCTAAATTCATTGTTAATATTTCTGATATTCATAATGAATTCATGAAACTCAATCCATCGAAGGCTGCTGGTCCAGACAAGATCCCACCACGAGTACTTAAGGTCTGCTCTCCTCATCTTGATGGTATTTTTACTTACATTTTTAATCTTTGTCTCTTAAATCATACATTCCCTGATCTCTGGAAACTTTCATGCATAATACCGGTACCCAAAAAACCAAAAATTACTTGTATGAATGATCTAAGGCTCGTTGCGCTTACCTCTGTTGTTATGAAAACTTTGGAACGCATTATTTTAAGAATTACCTTATGGAACCCTATGTGAAAAAGGTTTTAGATCCATTGCAATTCGCTTATCGATCATCACGGAGTACCAGCGATGCAATACTCCATAAATTACACAGTCTATACTCACATCTTGATAATACAAATAAAGGCCATTCTGCACGTATCATGTATTTTGACTTTCAGTCGGCATTCAATACTATACAGCCCCATGTTCTTGCGAGAAAAATGTTGGATATGCTGTTCCCCCGTCCAATTGTACGTTTAATTTTAAATTTGTGATAGGAAACAATTTGTGAAAATAAATGAAGTTGAATCCGAAATTCTTACTTCTGATACGGGTGTCCCGCAGGGTACAGTTAAGTTAAGTTATAGACTTGTAAAATTCGCTGATGATACCAGCACAATCAGCCTCATTATCTCAGATAACGACACACATTATCGTAACGAAATAAAAAGGTTTGTTGAATTTTGCGACAATAATTACCTACAAATTAATCATACAAAAACAAAGGAGATGATTATTGACTTTAGAACCAAACATAAATTTCAATTTCAACAATAATCATAAAAGGAGAAGAAATAGAAATAGTTGATAATTATAAATATCTGGGCATTGTTTTTAACAATCGATTGAGCTGGAGTGATCATATTGACTTCCTGTGTAAAAAATTAAATCCTAGAATGTATTGTTTGAGAACTCTATTTAAATTTAATTCAAGTGAACCTATGTTACTTTCTTTTTATAGATCTGTTGTTTGTAGTGTTTGGACATATGGCCTTGCTTGTTGGGCTGGTAATGCTGCCCGAGTGGATAAAGGACGTATTGACACTTTCATCCGTCAGGCTTGTAAAATGATTGGTCTACAGTTGCCCTCCATTAGTGAGGTGTATCTAGAACATCTTCAGAGAACCTTCCATCGTATTGAGTTAGATACCTCTATTCACTCCATCATGCTATTATTAACCAACTTAATCCAAGTGGTAGAATGAGGCTACTCAGAGCAAAAACAAACCGTTATGCGAAGTCATTTATCCCCTCTGGCATCACCCAGTTCAACAAGAGGTTTAGAAGATAATTCATTATCAATATAATAATATTAATGATAATTTTAACTGTATTAATTACGATAATGATAATAATAATAATAATGATAATAATAATAACAATAACAATAATAATAATAGTAATAATAATCATAACCAGACCTCTGCGAGGGCCACGGTTCCTATGCGGGCATTCGTAAAATATTGCACTACTCTATTTTCGATCATGTAGATATGGCAACTAACGAGGGAGTGCTCGTTTTAATTTGAGATGACAAACACATTTAACGGCAGATAGTTTCAGTTTTATCGTATGTAATCATTGCAATCATCAGGTGCTAGAAGTGCGTAGTGCAATAAAATGTTGTATATACATATATATACATATATATATATATATATATATATATATAATATAGGCTTATATTTATATATACATGTACCAGTACATGATATATGTACATATGAATATGATTTTGACATGAAGTAATTGAGAACAGTTATTAATATTAATTTCATTATTATTATTATGTTTATCAGCATCATTGTCATTATTATCCACAACATCAACATGTCATTATCATTAATATCATCATTAACATCAAAATCATAATTAATTAGCATCATCATCCTCATCAGTTATTAATAATAATGATGTATTTGCTAATATATTATATGTAGGCTATATACAGTCGACTCCGCCTAAGTCGAATCTAATGGGACTGGCATAAAAGGATCGAGTTATACAGATTTCGACTTGCAAATTTTCGAAAAAAAAAAAATATTAACATAGAACAATACTATGTGTACTCAATGCCCACAAAATCGAATTTCACGCAAAACCGAACATTGTCCTAAAATTATTCCTATTCGTCTTTTAATAAAATACTTTCCTGAAAACATGAACTCCCTATTCCGAATCTGGGACGATTTGTCCAATTCAGGACGGTAACACCATAGAGAAAATAGAACAGTTCTATTTTCTCTATGGTAACACTCACTGGAAAAACCAGACGATAGTTAAATAGACATCATTTAACGACAAGCATACCACACGCTGTGAAAACGAGACGACGCTTAGCTGTATTCGCATTGCCATGGATATTATCCGTTGATTAACATGACACGCCAGTAGACGTTTTGTTGGTTAATTATGAAGTGTTTTAATTAGTGTATGCTTGCTTTCAATCCTTAAAAACCATTTGGAATCAACCTGAAATAAAGACGGAACTCGACAAAGCAAGTTCCTACTGGTTATTCTTTTTAGTAGACGTCTAATTCAAATTCGTTAGATTCGTCAGTGTTTATTGCAAATGCACCTCAAGATGCTATTCAAAACATGTTGCTAATTTTATTACAGAGGAAATTTGTAGAGAATAAAATCTAATTTGTTAGGTTTATTTAGATTTGACTCTGAAATAATGCCATAAGGGTTTCTTATTTGTTTTTTGCTTTGTTTTATAAATTTGTTAAACAAAACATTCTTGATTTCACCGAGCTTGTTTACTGTCACGCACTATGAAACTTTGAGCGATCTGACGTCATCACAGCCGGAGCACATGTCTAGTTAGCCTGGGTTCCAGCATAATACCTCCATGGTTCCAGGCACTAATTTTAGGTTACTCACTCTTTATTGCACTTAGTGCGCGCCATACCTAATTTAATTGGCGTCCCATACTCGATTTCTTTTTTTTCGAATTAGGGCCTGGGCAAACGATTCATGCGTGC